TTCTTTCTTTCTTTCTTTCTTTCTTTCTTTCTTTCTTTCTTTCTTTCTTTCTTTCTTTCTTTCTTTCTTTCTTTCTTTTTTCTTTTTATGTTTTAGGACAGAGTCTCACTAGGTTGCTTAAGGCCTTGCTAAGTTGCTGGGCTGGCCTTGAACTTGTGATCCTCCTGCCTCAGCTTCTGAAGTAGCTGGAATTACAGGCATGTATCCCCTCACCTGGCTTGGAAAACAAGCTTTATGATATAATCATTGGACACATTTCTGCCAGGTTTAGGAGTTTAAAACCTTTATTGGGAGCCCAGTGTTAGTCATCAACCAATTCTCTGTATATGACGATGAGCATAATAAAGTCTAACCAAACAAATATTTCATGATCGTTAACCTTATTTCATAATTACCTTTAATCAGACAACTTCCCCTTCTTTTCATCGATTTTACTATAAAATATTTCGACTAAAGAGAAACGACTGGGTTGGCCTTCCTAAGAGCATGTTTCCTAGAGCACATTTGAAATAAAATCTTGACATGTGCTTATAACCCATTTGTCTGAGAAGTTGTTTTAACATATTCCTTATCACTGTGTACCCAGGTGGTTCCAGCAGTGGCCAACTTTTCCTGTTCCAGAATACTGAATGCAAAGTCAGAGATTAAACATAGGTATTGGCTCAGCCTCTCATCAGCATTTAATCTAAGGGAGGTTTAATAGGGTTTTCAAGTCATGTGCTTTCCAGTTAATTAACTTTGCTGAAATCCTGATTTATTAGACAGACATTACTTAGACTTAAATGTTTTCTTCAGCTGCAAAAGAGGTGCTGAATCTCCTGTCACAAAAGCCCTCAGTTATTAATAATTATAAGTCACAACCATCCTTTTTGTGCATATTTCCCCTGATGCTTTCATTTAGCATCTCAGCACAGGCAAAAGGTGAGGAAATTAAGTATGCAGAATGATAAAGAGTAGGAAGCTAAAAGCTCCAGCATGTTGGCTGCTTTGTAGACTCTTCCGAAAAATAGTAAATGTTCTACCCGCTTCTCTGTTAGTAGTGCTTCCTTCATTTAACACATTTGATGCACGCTCCATGCTTGGCAATGGACTGGGCACTGTGATGCAGCATGTATAAGATGAATTGGTCCCCGCTCCAAGAACAATTTGCCTGGTGGGAATACAGATCCTCAACAAGTAATCACAATTACAAAAGAAGTGTACAAAGAAGGCAGACTGGGAATTGGGGACAGTTTCTTCCTGAGAAAGTGAATTTTTATGCAGAGATATGATGATCAAGATGGAGATGAATAGGTAGATTGTAAGGAATGAAACAATGACTTAGGGCAGGAAAAGGAAACCATAGAGCCACAGCATAGCAAAAAAAAAAAAAAAACTACTCAAGCTTCTTATTTTTGATCTTGAAAAGATGTGACTGCTCAGATATTGATTCTCTGCATATGACCTACTTTGAAACTATGAGCTAGAGAGTGGCATCTGATATTCTAACACTAAATTTTATTCCTTTTGATTAAAGCACTGTTTCCTGGAAGAGTATTAGAATGCATTGTCTGCAGTTGGTAATACCTTGGGCTAGATAATTCACTATGCTGAGAAATGAAAATTATATCTAAAATTGCCACTGCTTGGGTTGAAGAACAAGGGCTAGCTAGATCAGGCAACACTCAGTGAATGGCTACATTAGAGCTAAGGTGTATGAGATCTGGTGAAGAAAGGGGTAATAAAATGATTATTTTTAAAAAAATTTTGGGCAATAGGTAGGACCAATAGAAACTGCTGCGCAGTCAGTACACCTTTGACATATACACCTTTGAAAATATAGCGTATATATATATATATATATATATATATATACGCTATATTTTATACGCTATATACGCTATTTTATACGCTATATACGATATATATATATATATATATATAACTACACACATATATATATTACATATAATATTGAAAAGTAGATATGCTTCATATTACAACCCAGAATTACTAAATTATTAATAATTAGTATGATGCCATATTGACATCCTTTTTAAAGTTAAACAAATTATCTGTTACAAAGTTGAAGTTAAAGATGAGACTGATATCTTAGGAAATAAGCATGCTAAGTATAAAAGAGTTAAGGTCAATCATTAAGAGTTGGAAAATGGAAAATTAGGAGCTGGAACTGGGGAAGCCATACTACTCTGAGATGGGGAAGGGAGAACATTGTAGAAAACAGAGGGCATACTTAGGCCACTGGGAATGACACATTCAAAGGTGTGATTCAGAAGGTAAAAAGATCAATTAGATGAGTGAAGCTGTTTTGATATAAAATGATAGAGAGGGAAAGAATTGTGGCAAAGAGCAGAAGGTGTGTCCTCCTAGAGTAGGAGGAGGAAACAACAATGGAAAAGAAGAAGAAGGAGAAGTTGAAGGAGGAGGAAGAGGAGGAGGAGAAAGTGGAAGGAGATAAAAGGGAGGAGAGGGGAGAAGAAGAGGAAGAGGAGGAAGGGGGAGGAGGAACAGAATAAAATAGACTGATGAGGAGTGTAGTTCTTTTTTTAATATTTATTTTTTAGTTGTAGTTGGACACAACACCTTTGTTTTATTTATTTATTTTTATGTGGTGCTGAGGATCGAACCCAGGGCCTTGCATGTGGTAGGCAAGCACTCTACTGCTGAGCCACAGTCCCAGCCCCGGAGCCTGGTTCTTGATGTCCTGTTTGAGCTCTCTGATCAAAACTGAGGTTAGAGTACAGAAGGAGAAGGTGGGACCAATAGAAACTGCCGGGCAGTCAGTACACTTTTGACATTCATCTTCCACTTCTGCCCATGGCTGACTCTTTCTGTATCTTTTTCCAAATTTAAAGGTTACAGACCACGAGAAGAATCTGAGATACCGTTAAGGAGTAGCATCTTGATGGGCACGAGTGTTTTAGGTTGCTGACCAATGCTACAGCCAAGAACAGGGCCTTCCAAAAAATGGGTTAAAACACTATTAAATTTGCATGTTGAAAGAACAAGGTTAGAATCCAGAATACTACCCACACCAGGAAACCTGAACAGTTTCACTGGGAGGAGTGGAGATAACCTACAGCACTGGCCTGCTGATTACCTGGGACAATGTACCAAGAAAAAAAGAAACAAGGAGGAAGGAGGGGGCAAGTGAAAAGAAAGGACAGCGAGAAAGAAATGTGAAAGAGATCCTAAGGCAAAAATTTTCCCCTTATTTTGTTTTCCAAAATAAGGAACTTCATGAAGAAATATTACTGGACATTTTGTCAAAATGCCTGAGGCTGGTATTTTGGGCCATTGGGCTCTATAGCTACTCAGATATATATTCAGGAGTTTGTTAACTTTTCAAGTCTCAGTTTTCTCACACCTAGAGTAGCACAACAAACATGAATTTACTATGAAAATCCGTTAATATAATGTATATGAAATGGTCCTATAAACTTTAGAGTGCTATTAAGGAATGTGATATTATCATTCTCTACTCTCTATAAACATCATCTCAGTATCTCTCTTCTTGGGGAATAAGTGCATAAACTGCCAGGAAGAGAGGAAACTGATTTTTGGTTAGCACTCTCCTGATATACCATTTTTTTGGTACATAAGCAGCAAACAGTTTTCGTATTATATTTCCAAGGGAATCTTTCTTAACTAGAGAAAAATATATTT